AAATTCAGCAAATGTGAGAACAAATAGAAGCTGGTGTTGTGTGCGACATCTTGGTCTTGCGTTACACCTTTCGAGTTCGACGAATTCGAACTTGTTCCCTGTTACGAATGTGAACTTTCATTTCGAGCTAGAACATTCATTCCGTGATAAACGGCTTTCATTCTATTAGAATTAAACTTTATTTTTCTAATTCGTCCTTTTACTCGCCGAATTTGAGATTTTAAAGGTGTCGTTCACCCATACGTCGGTAATCAATGTCTGATCAATCTCAACTGTATTCAACACAACAGCATCATCGAGCAATGGAAGCTGGAGAAGAAGATTATTCAATTCCATCGACCACTAACAAAATGTATCTTGTGTATTTGATAATCCTTGCACTGGCAAAGTGTGTATGGATTTGAATGACTCGGAGTTCGTATTGTACAAGTGGCCAGCTTCTACTGCACCTTCTTCTTGTGGGCGATCGGTTCCTCGCCCTTTGGCGTGCTCTCTTCATCGTCACTGCGAATATCACCATCCTGAAAAGGAACATGCTTCTTTCGACATGTAATTGGTTAATATGATTACCGCGAGAACACCATGGTGTTTGATCGTCTTGAAAATCATCTTGATAATCATACTACCCCAGATGATATGCAAGCACTGCAACAGCACTAGGAATATAGCCAGCATACAGTCCTTCAACGGGCGTTTATACTCGATAGCTGAGACCATGGCAAACTACTCCAATACATATATACCGTAACAATCGTACCATAAGTGCACGCCGGAATAACGCAGATTCTCGGGTACACATATAACCTCGAGAAAAGGAAACCGAACGCGAAGTTGGCGAAGGCGAGATCGGTCGGAGTCTTCAACCCTGTCCATAATGATCATTCATCTAAGCGAACTTGGAGGAGTTCTTACATTCATATTTTTCCGCGAGGTAACCCACAGTTTTTGCAACGTAAAGAGGCACATCGCTGATATTATGTAGGAAAATCACAGTAAGGCCAATACGATGATATTTAAGGTCTGAAAAAAACATTATTTTACACCAACAAGATG